TTGGTTTTAAATTGACAGGGAAGACACAGGTTACTTTTGGAAGATTTTGAAGTATGAATATAGACTGTTTACATTAAAGATTTGAAACACAGTCTTTACACTAATGTTGAAGTTGTGAATCTCAAAAGGGGGTGAAGGGAGGGCAGGGACAAGGGGAAAAAATGAGAACCAAGACTTGTCATGTAGAGGTACAAGATCCCAACAATGAATGTAACTGTACTGTATCCCTAAAATGTACCAATACACTCTAGTAAAGCTGAAAAAAAAAAAGATACATCATCATGTTCTGCATGACTGAACCACGATTGAACCATATTGAGGGATTGGGAGAGAATAAGTTTCAAGCCATGATAGAAATTATAGGATATCAAAATGGGAGCACACTTTTAGCTAGAGATCAACTAAAGTCTTCCAATATTAGAGATATAACAAAGTTTTGGCAAACGAGATGGTCTTATCTCACCTATAATTTTCATTGCTTGTATGACCAAAGAATAATGCCACTTGCTAACTGATACAGGCTTGCTTGTCACAGGTGATATTAGTGAAGTTCACCTCATGTCTGTAGATCAGATATGCTAACTTCCTTGGCTAATACAATGTGTATTTTATTCACAATTATGAATTGACTGTCCAGATGTTTTGGAAAAATAAAGAGGAGATAGCAATGAACAAGTAGAACTAATTCTGGCGAGAAAAAAACGTAATACAACAGATAGAAAAGAATTTTACTAAAAAATCAAAATCAGGAAGACAAAGGAAAACAAAAGGCTTATAAAATAAGAGCTGTTTGTTATAGAGGGGGAAATAGAGAAGAATAAAAAATTTGAATATTAGAGAAATATTATTGCAAAATTAAAAATTTAATAGAAGCCAGACATAAACATTGATTATAAAATAGTATAAACTTCCAAAAGATAACAGACAAAAAATGTGGTGGGTTGATCAAAGCCATGGGAACAAACCATTAATTGAAAATGGATATTTTATCTATAACTTTGAAAACATCTTAGAAAATTACAATCTTCTATAATTCTGTATTGTACCTTGGCAACAAGAACCACACTTGATTCTTCTCGTATGTATCTCCAGAAGCAAAGAGAGTGACTGACACATATTTTGAGTAAATAAATAGTTGTTGAATTATAGTAGAAATAAATTATTTAAAATTATAAAGTTGATCATTAATGTCTTACATCATAAAATCCTTGACTTCTACATATATATTTGTGTTTTAATTTTCATATACATATGTAATAACTTATTTTCTTGAGATGGTAAGAGTCAAAATAGCAGTTTTTGTTTTGATCTGCTTGTGCACTAGAATATAAAAATGGAATACAGATTTTGTCCCTCTTTCATATTAATATACCCTTAAGTTCCACATAATTGTTTGAGCCATATTTGGTGATCAATAAATATATGTCAAATGAATTAATCAACTAATGCAGGAAGATTTAAGATCAACAGTTGGAAAATTGAGTGAGTTCCCTATGAAAGTAAAAGAAGAATGACTTGTTGAGATTTGAAAAGAGAGGAAATTTTGTATAGCTTATGTGGCTCATGCTATAGGATATAACTGAGGGATTTTTAAAAATGGCTTGCTGGAGTGGTAGTAAATGTACAAAAGTTTGGATGATATGAACGCATCGAAATGGTTAAGAGTGTTTTCTCTATGGAAGCATCTTGACTGCAGAATGATATCTAATCTACAATTTGAGTACTACAGAATACTTAGTGACAAGAAAAGCCATGCTAGATCAAAATTGTAAAGCGTCTAATGTATGTTAAGATTTTCAGCATTTATTTTCTGGATTTTAAAGGGAATATTTATCACAAATATTGGGAGAAAAAGCAATGTTATGGTTTAGATCTAAAATGTCCCCTGAAAGGCTTGTGTTCTGAGGTGAAGTTTTTGGAAGGTGACTGAACCATGAGAACACTGCATTCATCAGTGGATTGACGAGTTCATAGTTTTAATGTGCTGTTAAGAGGTAGGGTATGATTAAAGGAGGGGTGTGTGTGCGTGTGTGTGTGTGTGTGTGTGTGTGCCTGTGCCTTTGGAGTTCTATCTGTCTGTCTGTCTGTCTGTCTGTCTGTCTACCTATCATCTATCTCTGACTCTCATTCCTCTTTCTGGTTCCTAACTGCCATGGGTTAAAGTAGCTTTCCTCTGCCAGGTCCGTTCATCATTCCATTTCTGCCTTAGAGCCAGTTAATCATGTACCGAACTCTTGGAAACTGTGAGCCAAAAAAACTCTCCTCTTTTAATTAGCAAGTGTTAGGGATTTTGTTCTAATGACAGGAAAGCTGACTAATACAAGAACAATAAAATAGTATGGAGTCTAAGAAGTCGGTTTCAATGTGGGGAGTATGATCCACATTTTGAAGCAATGAGTGCAAATTTTATGAGATATTTAATGGTTAGTAATTAGGCTCTAGTGACTTCTGAGGGGTCAGATTCATTGACTGGTAGTTAGAGAGCAACACAAAGTAAATTATATCTCCTTTTCTGGCAAATATAAACTAAAACAGACCAACTTTATTCCTTGAGACATTTTTAATGGGAGAAATAGGAAAGCCAATAGTTTGTAAGGCACTAAACTTTAGACAGCAGAGATGGATCCCTTAGATATGCAAAAATCAATTATATAAGCCTTGTCATTATCTTCAGAGTGTTTACTAGGTTCCCAGGACACAGCTCAGGGAGGGGGAACCTAGGCAGAGATCAAAAATGCCACAAAGTTGAGGTTAAGCTAAATCAGAAAAATAACCAACTAAGAAAAGTACAGGTAGCAGAAACTGGCATGCAAACCATGACTGAAATAGTGACTATTCTGACCAGCCAGAGGAAAAAGAAATATGTCAGGTGTGTGTGTGTATATATATATATATACATATATATATATTACATACATATATATATATGTCTCAGGTATAGAGAAGCAAAAAATCAAGGTGGCATCAGATCACTCATCAAAAACAATGCAAATGAGAAAACAGTGGAGCCACATACTCAAAGTATGTATAGGAAAAATATATATTAACCTAGAATGGTACACACAGAGAAAGCATCTTTCAAAAACTAAGACAAACCAATTTTTTGGATAAGTAAAAGAATAACAATTCATCACCAGCTAGCATGGTACTACATAATATATTGGCCTTCTCCTCTCTCAAAACTCACCCACAATACCATTCACAATAGTATTAAAAACACAAAATTATTTAGGGAAAATCCAGGGAGAGGGATATGCAACATATGCAACAGAAACTTCAAAATAATGTTGAGATAAATGTATATATGTTGATTGATATGTATATTTTCATGATTCAGAAAATATGACAACATTAAAATGATAATTATCCTCAATCTACAGATGCCATGGAGCCCTCATTAAAATCCTAACAGGCTTTTTGGGAGACATTCACTAATCTTAAAATTCCCATAGAAATTTAAGGGACATAACAGAGCAAAAGAAATTGTAAAAGAACTGAATTTGATGACTAATATAGATTGACCTCCAATATTTACAATAAAAGAAAAATAACACAATGCAGAATTGCTGTAAAGGCAGAAAAATAAACAGACCAGAAAAGAGCCCCAAGAAATATAGAGAAGTGATTTTCTACAGTTACACGGTTAATTCCATGGAGAAAAGCTCACCATTTCAAAAACAGTTCTGGCATTACCATCTACTCATTGGCAAACAATAAAAATAATTTTGATGCATATTATCACATAATTTACAAAAGTCAACTTACAATAAGAGAGGGGGGAGTAAGGAGGAGAGACCAAGGAGGGGACGTAAAATGATTAAGATGCAATATGCTTTAAGTACCCATTCCCCAGGATGAGTATAAATATGATGTATCACAAACATATATCGATTAAAAAAAGAAAGAAAAGCAAAATTTGTAAGGATAAGAACAAGGGTAAAAAACTCTCTTCGTGTCTTTTGGATAGGCAATGTTTTCTTAGATACAACATAAACAGTGCAGTTTGAATTGAATGGAACTCCAACAACTTTAAGTCTTCTGTTCTTTGAAATAGTTAAGGAAGGGCAAATCCAGAGGTGGAAGTCTAAATTTGTGAATTATGTATCTGACAAAGGACTTAAATTTAAAACACTAATTACTCTCAAATTTTAAAATATACAAAAATATGAATATATACTTCACCACTGGAGAGATGTGGATGGCAAATCAGCATAAAAACACACGTTCAACATAGGCAGAAACACTTATGAAAGCCACAGTGAGATATAACACACCTTTTAGAATAGCCAAAATTCCAATGACTAAACCATACCAAGTGATGGGAGTATATACAAAAGTTGAAATTCTTCTGCTGGAAGAAATACAAAATAGAATAAGTACACACTGAAGGGATATAAAATTTCAGGTTGATATAACGAATAAGTTCAGATCTATTGTATACATGGTGATTATCGCAATAGGTTGTATATTTCAAAAATACTACAAAATTAGACGTTAAGTGTTCTCACCATAAAATAACTATGCAAGGTAGCACATGTTAATTGGCTGTATTTAGTCATTCCACAATATGTATACTTATCCATATACTTATATGCATACATACATATATATATATGTATATTCAAAATGTTTTACATAATTCACACATTTTATCTGTCAATTTAAGAAACAGTAGAACAATTTGGGAAACGTTTGATAGTTGATAATAGACATATACTTCTCACGATCTCACCATGGGACTTCTAGCTAAATTTCAGACAAGGGTAATTAAAATATATGTTCACATAAAGGCATGCATTCAATGCTTGTGCGTCCAAAGTGCAGCAGATCCAATGTTTTAGGTACACACAAGGGAAGAGAAAATGGAACTAGCTGGGGGAGGGGCGCTGCCTCGCTGGGTGAGGATCCACACAGAATCCCAGCGCGAGCCCCTAGTCACTTAGCAACACCACTGCATTCTGGAAACAAACCAACGAAACTCTGATGGTGGCCGCAAAACCACGGGTGCCATGGTGAAGCAAAGGTGGCACTTGAGCCCAAGGGTGTATGAGCCAGCGGCCCTGGGCGTGACTTGCCAACCCTCGTGCAAAGACCATCTGCCTTCCAAATGTTTCACAAAGCACAAGAACAAGCTTCTCCAGTCTCCCGCTTCCCTGGAAGGCCAGCGTTGGGTATTCGTGAGGGAAGATCTGGACGACTTCAGGAAAGGTTGCCCATCTTCTGAAGGTCTGATCACTCGTGGCACCAAGGAGAACTTTCTTCCTATGGTCATTCACAGAGTCTCTCAGCCTGGCACCAAAAACAGCTGGAGAAAGCCCCCAAACGTAAGTCTGTACTCCACCCTGTCCTCAGCCCAGGTAGCACGGAAGACATTCATGCATGACGTTGAGACGTGCCTGGCCCAGAATTCTTCAGCTCTCTATTCGACTCTGGAAGAAGTCGTCCCTGCAGACCTCTTGCTAAAGGCGCTCAATGTGCTGGACCCGGACAGAAAGCTGGAGGACACATGGGATTATTGTGAAGGTCACAGGGAAAGAACCAAAAAACCCACCGAGTTTTCCAAACAAAGTAGTCCAAAAGGCTTCCCTAAATTTCCCAAGATTTCTCAGCCGCGTCGATACAGCTTGCTTCAGGGAGACAAGTTAAGCAAACTGTATTTACTCAGTTCTCTTCAGCGTAATTACATGCCACAAGGAATCCGTGATTTCTGTAGATGGATTATAAATTTGGGAGACTTCGGCATCAGAGAAGATTTCCTGCTGAAACTATTTGACATTGGCTTCGAGTTCAAACCAACCTATGATGAGAACCAAATGAAGAAAATAAATCTGTTTCCTTCTGAGCTCAAGTACTGCAAGGGGCTAAAGAAATTGCAGGAGATGATATTCTCCATACAGGAATTCGACTTTGAGAGGAAACTTAAGAAACTAAAGAATCCCCGTCAACCAAAGCATGAGAAGATCAGGTATGGAGCATGGTACCTAAAGCCCAAACTATGGAAAAAACTAATAAATGATGAGCCTTTGATTGACCCCAAGATCTTATCTGAAGCTCAACGTGAACCTCCTCCTGACATTATTGAAGAGCTTTATGGAACAATTGCCTTTAAGGATTTCATTGTAAGCAAGGGCTACAGTATGCCAGGAATCCTTGAGAAGTTGTTCACCAGGAAGGGATGGAGTTATGACAAGTTTGTGATCCCTATACCAAAAGCAGTGAGGGCTTATGAAAGAGAACTGGCTGCTTTTGCAAAAGAAGGTGACTAGATGGTAGATGGCTTTTCATTTACTATGTCCTTGACTCTATCTTGCTCTCATTTTCAACAATCACAATATAGGATGAAGGTCCCATCTTGGAGGTAAAACTGTGAAGGCTAGCCTGTAATTTTAACGTTTCATGCTCTAAATATTTCTTAATTAACTTCTGCTTTGAATTCATCCATACTTCAGATGTCAACTGAGATCGATATTCATACAACCTCTTCACACATTTTTGCAACATTGAGAACATTATGTCATTATATCAATTATTTGTAAGACTATGTAAAACCATAAAATGCAGAATTACTCTTAAAAGGGAAATGAACCAATATGTCAGTTATGACACAGGAGAAATCTCAAATGCTGCAATTGTGTTGAATAAAAGAAAACTTGTAAAGCTCCACTTGTGTTAAGTTTTTAATAATATAATTATAGCAATTAGTCAACCACAACTGAAATCTATAGCGAAATAATATGAATCCTGCAGTTTAGTCTTTATACTTCCCCAATTCAACCACCTTTAAAGATTGTAGTTTCAAGTTTTTTGATGTTTAGAAACTCATTCTTAGTATATGGATTAATACAACTATTTTAAAATCATACATATATCCATTATTTGTGAATATGTGTCATAAGAACACTTAAGATCTAATATTTTTAATATTAAACCATAATGACACATGGTTTACAAAATTTTTCTGTAATTTCATAGGCTGCCTTTTGCCCTGTTAATTGTTTCTTTTCCTGTAAACGTTTTCTTTTTCTTGTTCATTAATCCAGTCCTATTTGTCTTATTTTTGCTTTTGTATTCTACTTTTAGTGTCATATATAAAATATTATTTCCTAAACCAATATCAAGAAACTTTCAAAAGAGCTAAAGATGTAGGGAAAGTGGGAAGAGTAGGGGAAAGGTAATAAGGGAAAATAAAAAAAATACAAGAAAATGAAAAAATGGAAATAAAGTGTTTGTAAATGGGGAAGGTAGGAGGGGGTGAAGGGAGGGCAGGGACAAGGGGAAAAAATGAGAACCAAGACCTGTCATGTAAAGGTACAAGATCCCCATGATGAATATAACTGTACTGTTTACCTAAAATGTACCAATAAACTCAATGAGAGAGAATAAAAGAGAAACTTTTCTCCCATTTTTCTTTTACTGCCATTATGGTATCAGGGCTTACATTTAAGTCTTTTTTTTGAGACAGGGTCAGTTGAGACTGACCTGGAACTCACTATGCAGCCCAGGCTGGTCTCAAACTCACAGAAATCCTTCTGCCTCTGCTTCCAGCGTGCTGGGATTAAAGGCGTGTGCCACCACACTACATTTAAGTCTTTAATTCTTTTTTTTGTGTGTGTAGCGGTGATCAAATTTGGGACCTTGCACTTGAGAGGCAGGCGCTGGCCCTTGAGTAGATTTTTATATGTTATAGAAAGGTCTCAATATTCAGAATTTAGACAGTACAATGTATGTGCTCGGTAAGTACTTATTAAAATAATTAAGAGTAGAAGTTGGTTAAATTATGAGATTTATTGTGATTCTACAGCATTTCCCTCAAATTCTAATATTCCTACACTCTAATCCTTTAACAATCATGGGGGTACTGTTCCTATCAGGTGTGATTTTTCCTTCCCAAAATGTTTTAGTTCATTTTTCCTAACTGAACAGAATTTATAACAATTTCATAAATTATGGTACATGTCATTCTCATCATTTTTATGGCAACCATATCCCAAACAAAGGCTGTATGTTCTTTACTTTTAACTTTTTTAGCTTTACTTTTATATATGCCAATTATTTCCTTTATCCTATTGTATTTTACCAAATATAATTCCATTTTTACCACACTAAGCACTCAAATATTTGGTTGCATATGTAAAGCAGTTGTCTTGGAAATTTAAAAAAAATTCAGGTAAATCAAGTAGTAGTTTATAATTTGTTACTGAGCAATTGTTCACTGAAAGATCTGTGTTATCCAAGACAGGTGAGAATTGAGAGATAATTCTCCTTTTCAACAAAATACAATCAGTAAGCTAGACTTTCCTGTCCTGTAAAAATGCATTACAGAATATGCATGTTTTATAGAAATAGCACCAGATTTGCAGTCAGAAATTACATATGTGAATACCTACTTTTCTGCATCTTGGTTATATGACAATATGAAACTTAACTCCTTATCTGCAAAATAAGAACCATGTTGTCAAAGTTAAAGATATTTTGGTGAGAATTAAAAGATGACTTTGTAATCCACCTTTCAATACAACAAGCAACGTAGGATTATGTAATATCACAAACATTATAGAATTAATACTTATTATATAATAAATACTCAGAAGCCATGGGGGAAATAATGTTTTGGATGACATTAACCTCGTGTTATAATCTCCAACTAAACCACTCTCAATATTAGCTATTGTTTAGAATGAATAAATGGATTTGCAAAGTAAGAGTCAGTAGTGAGCATTAATTTGCTTAATGGTGATGGTTTGTACTAGGAAATATGTTTTCCTTGGAGGAAGTATGTAGATTTCTCCATTCTGTAATTACTCACATTGATATTGTCATACATACACACAGGCACATGACTGAAGCATTTGATTTATTCATTTTTTTTAAACCAAAGTGATACTTCTTTAAATAACCTGGCTGCATATCTATAGCTTCTGGAGAAAATTCTGGAAAGCCTGATAAATAATTGTGTTAGTGTAGCCACGTAAGATTTTCAAAATTCACGCACAATCTTTGTATTAACTTTTTGGTGCTTGTAACAAAAGACTGAAAATATAATTATTTCTATTTTACAGTTGAGAAAAATTCAAATAACTAATATCTATTTAAGAGTGTGGCCTATGGTTAAAATTTCCCTTTGTATTTCATGTTCCCACATTAACAATTATTCTGAGCATGAAATGCTCACTTTCAAACCTTGGGCTCCTCAAGGTGCCACAGAAACTAGGGTAGAAATACTTGCCCTATGACCTCTAATAAGGGGCACATAAAGATATGCCTTTATACTTCTGGGAATAGTTGGAGCCTGATTTTCCATCTTGCCTTGCATAGAAACCATAGCTTTATGGGTAGTGAGACAAGAAGGAGGACACATTCAGCTAAGATAATGTAAAAGCAACAAACCAAAGTGAGAGTGTTAGCACATGCTTGTAATCCCAGAATTCTCGGAGGCTCAGGCAGCAGGAGTTCAAAGCCAGCCTGGGCAATTTAGGGACTTAGCAAGATGCTGTCTCAAAACACAAACACACACGCACGCACACACACACACACACACACACAAAGGGCTGGGGATATAGCTTAGTACATAGGCCTGAAATTAACTCTGCAGTACTTGAGGCGGGGAGCCATAAACCAAATGAATTAGATTGCATGGACAGTGATACCAGCATAATGCACTACTGAGAACTCATTAATGATTATTAATGAAATAATAATATTAACCTGTCTTTAATCTATTCTTATATTAGCTGAAGAATATTCAGTGTTCATGACAAATGCTATGCAATCAAGAAAAGTCTTTACAGTATCATTAATTCTACAAAGATTTGTATCATGAAAAATTTGACAACTTAGAAAAATTAAAATGCTGAATTAGCCAAAATTTAATATTTTACAAAAATGGAAATAGCTGACTTAAATTAGACTTCTTCTGTTACTTCTTTTCTAATCTAAGGACACAACATTTTTTTCTAATAACATTGTTACCTGCTAAAGAAGGAAATTATTATATCTCAGTCTTCCTGATTTTAAGGGGAAACTATTGTAACAACTCTGACAAAAACAAACACTAATTCTTAAACATAGATAGCCAGGTTAATTGTGTTGATATTATGATTACTTTAAGGAAGAATTTATTTTGGACTGCAAAAATAGATTGCAATAAGCTGTAGTAAATTTTCTGTTAAATTTTCATGTGGTGATGTGCATATTCATTTAAACCTCTAAGCCAGCCACACACATAAATAATGTAATAATCAGTTACAATGTCACAAAAAGGCAAGAAAATCTTGGGAGAATCTGGTTTTAGGACTATGCATGATGAAATACTTTCATTATTAGGCAATGATTTCCTTTTTATTTCTGAGGGTCTAGTGAGAGGATGTCAACAGCATGATCTGTGGAATAAAGTGAAAATAAATTAGTGTAGCAGTTCTGTCTCAGCTTAAACAAAATGACTTATAAAATGTTCCCTTGTGAAAACTTGAAATAATACCTATTTCACTGGAACTTTTTAAGGAATATTTGACCTGTGGATGTTTGAAATGTTTTGTTCATTCGTTCATTTTCTTTCACTCTGCCCCGTTTGAACTACTGAACTGAAGTTGAATGCTTTACCAAGGAACATTTTCCTCCTTGATTCAGTCATATTTCACACAAATTTAGACCAGTTGGAAAATATTAAGAAAGAAGACAGTTTTCAGGCATCATGGAAAGATATATTGCCTTAATATGTATAACATCATTTTGGGCTCCATGAGTGGATAAATAATATCAGAAATATGTCCTTTGTTAATATTCATTAAGACATATAGTAGACCAGTGGCCTAGAGATGAAAAATTTTGATCACAATCTTATGTAATTGGAATTTCAAAAGTAACCACTTCCTTTTCTCTTTTAAATTCTCACTGTGGTAAAATAGAAAATCAGATCATATTGTGACTATCATGAACTACATGGTAGTTATCAACTAAGTGTCAAAAATATACTACTTAAAAATCACCCATTGGAGACAACTACGATGTAATTTCACATGGAAACACAGATTCACTCTATAGCATAAGAAAGGCATGCTGTTGTCTTCCCGCCACCTTAAAATAAATTTTCATCTAGAGCAAATAAAGGTTTACATCATTCAGCATGATGAAGATGGCTGCATTTCCATTACCATAGTGCTCAGGAATTGGTCTCTCTGTGTATATGTATATGTATATGTATATGTATATGTATATGTGAAGCTTAAGAGTTCCAACTGAAGACACAATCCCTACCTCAAAGGCAGCAGTGAGGGGGTGTCATTTCTTAATAACAGAGGGAGAAAGAGAAATAATTCTATTACAATCATTAAGTTAAAATATGAAAATCACAGTCAACATTATTGTGTGCACAAAGCAGAAGGTAAGGAGGGGCAGACAGAGTGACTCTCTAGACTATCTAAACACAAGAGAAAAAAGGAAATTAATTGCAGAGGACTGCTATACTGATTATGCCCAAAGCAGTCTGTGAAGAGTTAACCCCACATTTGGCTTGTTTATAGAAGTGAGCCTGATTGAAGGCTACTTGCCAAGGTCAAAGCAATTCACCCAAATACCATTCCCACAACCAAAACCTGCTGACTAGCAGGGCAATGTTCTAATTACAACCATATATTTTGTCTATTCTGTTCCTCATTTGAGCCTGCTTTATCTTGTACTTTATGAGCCTTGTTTACATTAATTCCCATAGAAACCACACATCATCTTTACCCCAGTTGAGTGCCAATAAAAGTCAGTGCCTGGGACTGACCAGGGCCTTTGTCAGTTATACCAGCATTGGTCATCCTGGCACCCTGATTTCTCTCACTTAGTTCTGTCCCTTAGTGTATTTTTCCCCCTCAGGCCTAAGTCATATACTGGGTGGGTAGTTACTGGAACCGAATTGCAAGAGTGTCTGGCAATTAATAGAATTATTTAACTCTGAAATTTGTAATTTTGGTGTGGTTCCTTGTAGGCTCTGGCTGACAAATACCTGAGGTGTTTAAAAGATCCATTCTGTGCCCATAATCTCTAATCTTTTGTCATGTGAGTTGTTGGCACCTCATTGTGTTCTAATTATACTTACAGTATCAACCAGACTTTCTCTCTGGTGTAGAATGGGAAGTAACTTCCAAAAAATTACTCAGATATACTGTACCTAGTATATTGTGTTCTTTCCTTTATGTCCTTGAAAATAATATACTCAGCTTGTGAACTATCAATTCTTTTTTAAAACAGTACAGAAGAACGGTAGCAGTATGTAGTGGATATGCATTCAATGAATTAAGACAAAATCTACTCCTTTAAATAATCATATATACTATGTACTGCATTATTGCTATAATAAAATTATATAAAATAAAATATCTTAAAACAAGATTACTTCATGTCATTATTAAGACCCTAGTAGAGAAAGCTGTGCAATAGAAACACATAGACCTATCTAAAAATCCTGACCTTAAGGAATTTTCAGTCTTTTTAGAGAGAAAAGGAGGACACACTTTAAATTCAATAGCAATTCAGGACAACATTTAACATTTGTATTCATCTATACTTTATAAGTTAATTTTTGAATTTCAGTGCCGACTTATCCTAAGGATTATTGATTCTGAAAGCTATTTAAAGTTTGAAACTACATTACCTAACATTTCTACCAGAAATTTCATAAAAGAGATGTCAGTAATTGGCAGAAAATTTAAAAGAACAGAACAAGAGGGAAGAAAAGTTGTATTTTAGTGTCCTTCCAAAATCATAACATCAACAGCCTAAAATTAAAACACTAAACTTTTATGTGATGAGTAGAGAATTTTCTCAAGGACAATCATCTTTAAAAAATGATATCTATTACATATTGATTACAACCAATTAGCAACATTAGAATCATCTTAATACATCACCTAATTTAATATTTACATGTGTTTACTTATAATATGGATCAAGAATTACCTGGGTTCCTAATGGTGATGTGATTTATTTTACAGTACAAAGTGGAAAGATAATAAACAAAGCAAAATAAAAAAAGGTTTACTAAGTGGCAGTGAAATTACCAAGATGTTGGAAGAATGAACACATCCCAATGGTTAATAAAACTTTCCGTAGGAGTATTCTGTGTTCTGACAGAGAGAACAAAATTTGTAATTGCACAAAGAGAGGAAATTTACAATCTAAGTGAAGGGATTGAGCAAGTCCAGCATATTACAAAGACATCTTTGGAATCATCCATTTTGGAATCCAGAGAGGACAGTAAGAAAGTATTCCCTGGAATTGTGCTGAAAAGTTCAGGGGATACAGAAAATAAAAGAAGTGAAGAACAAGTTCAAAAAGAGTAAATGACAGAAAGGTTGAAAGATTCATCAAGATTTATAGGGTGATGCTTAACTTCAACACAAGTGTAAATTTGATCATGAGTGGGAGAAAAAAAAAGGTCGCTGGAATCAATAAGGTCTAGGACATGAGTGAGGAGGAGATCAGAAGGGTCATTAGTGTAGATCCTTAAACTAATGCGAGGAGCTACCACTCAAAGCTTTATGATATTAAATATATCTGAAACATCACAAAAAGCACTACATATAATCAAATATCACATTCAGGGAATATTCAAATAAGTTGCCTACAACGTAAGGTGATTAACTAAAAAATACTGCATTTATATTTATAAGTGACTTTAAAAAATATTATGTAGTTCAGATGGTTAGTGCAGTTCACTCGTTTACTCATGGAACTCACTGGTCTCCTCCCTTTTAACTTCCTAACTTTTTCACTTCTTCCTTAAAACTATTAGTGTGAGGCCAGGCAAGGGAGCACACTCCTGTAATCCCAGCATTTGGGAAACTGAGGTAGGAAGATCACCATGAGTTTGAGACCAGCCTGGGGTACATAGTGAGTTCAAGCACAGCCTGACCTACATGATGAGACCCAGTTGCAAAAAACACCAACCAAAAAACAAAAAGTGTTAGTGTAGACATGAAAGTCACTGAGTTGAGTTGCCATTCAAATGAAACTTTATTGCAGTAAATATAACTAATGACATCACCAAAAGCCGTACTTTAATTGAAGTAACTTGGTTATAGAAACTTCTGGTCCTTGACTGCTGAACACCGGCCTAGTTCTACCCCCTGATATCTGAAACGACATCAGGGAATGTTACCAAAGGTCATCACCTCCCACTTTTGCCTCTTACTCCTCCTTATCCAGCCTCAGACATAGCTGGAAAATATTCAAATTAGTTGCTTAAAGAAACCAGGTTATGAAATTTAAAAATGTACTTATATTCATAAATATTAAATACTGTATAGGTCAGGTGGTCAGTGCAAATTTGCCTAGGTTGCTCAAAAGAAACCAGCACTCAATGCACCTGACCCTTGAGCGTCCTTCAATGGTTGCTTCCCAACAGTCATCCCAGCCCATTTCCGGGACTGTCCACTCTGGGCCCCCCCGTCAACCCACCTAAGCCCCACTTCAGCTTCACTTTAGACCAAGGTGATTACATCAGTGTTTGCACTTATATTCATAAAAAAAACTTCTCAAAATGCTATATGAGTCAGACAGCCTGTGCAGTTGCCCAGGTCGATCAAAACATTCATCATTCATTCGCCTGACTACGGACGTCTACCAACTCAACGGGTCCCCACAAGGGACATTACGATGCACTTCCGGCCCCGCCCACTTTCAACCGTTACTCGAACTTACCTCAGACTGATTTCATATTCTCCTCAGCTCAGCCGCGTCCCGGAGCCCACTCTCCACGGGCCCATTCGTCCTCCACTCTGTGTGAGCCAGTAGGGGCCCGCCGCTTTCCAAGCCGCAGCCACTGCCCACTCCACTGCCCGTGTGCTAGCGCCAGCGCCTCGGCCTTTGTTGCTGCCTTCGTCATCTTCGTCTTCGCTGCCCCCACCATGGCTGCCGTGACCCCACTCCTGATGTTCTTCCAGGATTACCACTACGACTGCAAAGTCACAGTCAACATCCAGATAAATCAGCAGCTGTATGCCTCCTACATGTACTTGTGTATGGCCGTTCACTGCACCCGCTTTGATGTGGCTTTGAAGGGCTTCTCGCGCTACTTTCTTCGCCGGTCTCACCAGTGGAGTGCGCTTGCTGAGAAGCTCATGTCGATGCACATCGACCGAGGTGGGTTCGTCGCCTTTAGCCACATCAGGAGCCCCTTCGTGGATGACTGGGATGGAGGCCTCCATATCATGGAGTACGCCCTCGGTCTGGAGAAGAGCCTCAACAAGTGCCTTCTGGAGCTTCACCACCTGGCGAAGAACAAGGAGGACATCACCCTGTGCAACTTCCTGAAGTGCCACTACCTGGGCCCTCAGGTCCATGTCCTCAAGGAGATCTCTGAACACTTGACCAACATTCGCAAGTTAGGGACTCTGGGGGAGGATGTGGCCGACTACATCTTTGACAATTGTTCCCTGAAGTAAGGTGACAAGAATGACTGAGCATGAACTCTTGCCAGGGCCATGGAGTCCTCCCTGGGTCACCAGGCAGGAGGGCATGCACATTCTCCTATCACCATGTTTATTTCAGCTCTTTCCTTTGGGTTGGACTGTTGTGTCCAATAAAGTTACTTGGTTATTAATGCAATGAAGGTGTCTGATTGATTCATGTTTCTAGAACCCTTACTTTTCAAGGATCAGAGAAGATCCCTATTTTGGGTATTAAATGGATATCCAGGAATCTTCCCACCCACCAGTGCCCTAGTCACAAGCAGCTCAGGGCCTCCACAGTGGAGGGGCAAGGTATTATTTCACGGCCCTCTGGCAACCACAAAGTTAGTCTTTCTTCATAAACTCTGTGGGGATGGGGAGTGAGATGGGGTAGACAGTCTGGGGCCTTGGTATATGTGCACCACAAAAGTGTGAAAATGTGGTGCCTCTAGGCTAAAGTAGGAAATGGGATTGGGTGGGATTAAAGTGGAGGGGTCCTAGGCTGTTGTATGGTTTATTGGTACAGAGTGCTTGTCTGACCTGTGAGACTCTGGGATGGATTCTCAGCATTTCAGCACTGCAGTCAAGCAAGCAATGGATCTCCCAACTACCGGAAGAGTTTTTAGTTTATTCAAATATGAAAATGGTAATGTATGTTGATTCTAGTAACAAGATGAAGGGTTTGAAAGAGGGCACAACAGAGAACTGCTTTGACCAAGTAACTCTGAGTGTAAGTGATGATGGGAATAAGCTTTGCCCTGGCTTACTGACCATAGCCTCAGTTATGGTGGTCACCATTAAAGTGACGTGATACCAAAAACCCCTCTAACCCCTCACTATAAGGGCTGAAAAATATGAGGTCAGGGATGATGACCATGTTTGTGATAGTCAAAATAAAAGACTAAACTCCCTAAATGTAAAGCCAGTGACTGCAGCAGCCTTGAAAAATGTAGAAGGGTTGTTCAAGGGAGAACAGTTAGGTCTTAGTTTATTTGGAGAGAGAGAGAGAGAGAGAGAGAGAGAGAGAGAGAGAGAGAGAGAGAGAGAGAGAGAGGGCATATCTTATTCTTATAAGGACAGTAGTCTTATTTATGAACACCACCCTTATGACTACATTTATCTGAAATTACTCAGTTGAAAGGACAGTTTCACATGATGTGGGAAAAGGTAGATGCAGTGGTTTGAAGGGAAATTTTACTTTGCTGCTGATTCACGGAAAAAGGTTTAAAATGTTTCCTGTTTTCTAAAGGGCACTTAGCAGTTTTCCTGCAGTATATTAACCTTCCACATGGGTTTCTATTACAATTTTTTTTTGGGGGGGTTTGAGACAGGGTTTCACTATGTAGTTGAGACTGACCTGGAACTCACTATGTAGCCCAGGCTGGTCTCAAATTCACGGAGATCCTCCTGCCTCAGCCTCCCGAGTGCTCGGATTACAGGCATGCACCACCAAGCCCGGCTTTCTATTGCAATTTTATTCTTATTATTATATCTCTTTTGAGTTTTTCTCACAGGAGGAAAAGCCAGTTCAGAATTAAAATGCTACCCAAGAGTTAATGGGCTTTTTGAAAGAATCAGGGCAATATTGAGCATTGAAGCAAAGAAATCTATACATTTGAAGAAGCCAGAGAAGAGTTTGAAACTTATGAAAAAACTAGAAATATATCGGCAATATAAAAATTTCTCACAGATTTGTCTACTGTTTTTGTGATATTAAGAATTGAACCCAGGGCCATGGATTCATCACTAGTCCTTTCTTATAGTGAGGCTAGAGTTGAAATTGCAATCTTTCTGCTTCAGCTTCCTAGAGTGCTAAGATTACAGGGTGCCTACATTTTTTATGTATATGCAATGTGGTTGAAAATAATAGGGTGAATGTTCATATTTTCAAAATCTATTGCAGTAAATGACATATTACCATTAACCCCTGTCTTAGTTATTTTTTCTTTGCTGGGAAACAATACCGGACACCCACAATTTAAAGGAGGCTGACTAGAGGTTTCAGTCTGTAGTCGGCAGCCTCCAAGGCACAGAGGCATGGGAGAGGGTTAGGAAGAAGCAGCCATCAAGGCAGGAGTGATACTGATCTATATATACTCTTCCAGGCCACCCCCACTTGGGCCTACCTCTTCCCACCAACCAGGCTTCACCTCCCAAAATGATACTTAGCTATAAACCCATCAGTATCACACACCCATGATCCAGTCATCTCCCAGAAACCCTACCTATGAGCACATGAAGCTTTGGGGGGACATCTAGATGCAGTAAAAGCCATAACAATTCTTCTAAAATTACTACCTCTCACTTCAAATATGTCATCTTTCTTGCTATTTTCTGAAGTAGTTCTAGAAGTCCTCTCTCTTGAGTGTCTTTACTTGCACTGTTGTGGCTGACTCAATTTCCTGAATCAATTCAAAATATTTACCTTTCACCGTCATGTTGACTTTGAGGAAGAACCAGAAGCTAGACAGTGCCAGATCCAGTGAATAAGGTGGAGGAGGACACACTAATATTTTCTATGGGATGGCACTTGGTGGCAGCACTGTGTTTTTAATTTCACCGCACAAAGACACTCATAAAAGAGAACATCCAGTACTGTTACAGAGGGCAAGAATGATGGGACAATTGTGCTTGAGGTGTGGGAGAATATTGTGAGTGGGATTAAGGGTATTGTGTCTTTTACTATAATGCATTTTTATTTTTAATTTTTTTTGAGACAGGGTCTTGCTGTGCAGTGTAGCCCAGGTTGGCCTTGAACTAAAAGAGATCCTCTGGCCTCAGCTTCCAAAGTGCTGGGATTACAGGCTTGCCCCACCACGCCCAGCCTTATAATACACTTTTTGAAAATTTGAACATCCACATATATTTTGATGACCCCTTTTATTTGAAATGTGCATTGCCAAAATGTGTGCATTGCTATCAATGAAAAATTACTTTTATGGGGCTTGGGATTTAGCCCAGTGGCACCGTGTCTGCCTCGAAAGCACAAGGCCCTATCGAAAAAAAATTATGTTAAAAAGTATTCATTTAACTAAATATTCTGTGTGTGGGAGACCTCTTTCACTTTCCAGTGTGCTATGTTTGAGGGCCTTGTTTCCATAGGATTCTGCTGAGTTAAGATTTATCATTTTGGCAAGGGAGAAGCATTTGATGCACACAGGAATTTGATCTGGAAAGTTAATAATGCTACTGTCTTACTATGCCAATCAGAGATAAGGGATGAAAGAAAGCTAATGGGTCTTGACAGTGTTTTTACAAGTTTTATTTCTCATAGAAAAGAAAAGACATCCACTTTTGCTTCTCCACTCCATGAAAATACTCTTCACTTCTCCCTATTTAAAAAAGTATTTATTTATTTATATATATTTTTAAATTTGAGACAGGGTCTCGTTATGCAGTTCAGGCTGCCCTTGAACTCACTATATAGCCCAGGCTGGCCTGGAACTCCGGGTGATCCTTCTGCCTCAGCTTCCCAGGTGCTGAGATTACAGGTGTGCTCCACCATGCCCAGCCTTCTTATTCTTGAATAAGTTATTCAAGGAGATCAGGGGTGGGAAAGCACAATGCAGTGTGTAAATTATATAGAATGGTTCCACAGTTGAAAATTACATTAACTGTTAGCCACTATATCAAGATCCATCCTGTGTACAATGAAAATAACACTAGAAGTTAAATAAGTAATGTCAGATATACTAGAATATAATCTATAATATGTTTTGTGTCTCATTCTGATATTGCTTCATATGATTTTCTGTGTGTGTGTGTGTGTGTGTGTGTGTGTTTTTTAACATAACTGGCTCTGTGTAAAAGTAGTCATTTTCCTTGAACAATTATGAGCTATTATATACTTTAAGTAGAATTAAGTATCATTTGTAAATGTGACCTAAATGTGATTTAGACACTTCAATACCTGTATCAAATATTATGGAATATTTATAGTACAGTTAGGCTTATATATTTAAATAATAGACACTGGTTCTTCACATTGTTTTTAAGGGTATACGTCATGTTATTTATTAATATTTTTCTCTCTCATTGAGTTTATTGGTACATTTTAGGTATACAGTACAGTTACATTCGTTATTGGGATCTTGAACCTCTACATGACAGGTGTTAGTTCTCATTTTTTCCCCTTGTCCCTGCCCTCTCTTCACCCCCTCCTCCCTTCTTCATGTTATTTTCAGGGAACATAAATTTTAGATGATTTTCTATGTTTTTCACAATCCTAATGATGTTTCATCTTACTTTATCATTCTAGGTAAGAAAGGTATATTTTTGTTTGATTGCTTTGTGCTAAAACACTTTATACTAATGAGAAATACTTTTTAATTACAATTTGAAAATAATTTAAAATTTACATAAAAATAACAATAATGGAATAAAAAGGGTCAGGGATTTAGCTCAGTGGCATTGTGCCTACTTCAAAATTGCAAGGTGCTGAGTTTGATCCCCACACCAAATAAATAAATAAATTTCTATCTCAGTATGTAGCTCAGTGGTGGCACACCTGCCTTGCAATCACAAGGTCCTGAGTTCGATCCCCACACCAAAAACCAAAGAAAGAAAGAAAGAATAGAATAAAAATAAGATGAAACATCCCTCATTCATCATCACTAATTTTAACATTTTGTCACATTTGTTTTACTTTTTTCTCTTCTTACACACACACTTTTCCTACCAGTTGGTAGTAGATTGTAAATGTGTTTTCGCCAGTGGCACTCTTTGTTGTTGTTGTTATTGTTGTTTTGGTACCGGGGATTGAACTCAGGACCTTGTGCTTGTGAGGCAGGCATGATGCCACGGAGCTACATCCCGGGCCCTAGTACATTGTAAATGTGTATTGAGTATTAAAAAAAAGGAAAAAAATGATATTATTTTGCTTAAATATTACCAATGATCAAAATGAGGTAATTTAATATTCATTAAAATATTATTTAATTATCCGATTAAATAACATCTAATCCCTATTCAATCTGGACAATCATTACAATCTT